ATTCCCACAGGGTTTCTGAGGCTGCATCATTACAGAAGCAGACGGCCACAGCATCCTCCCACAGGGTGGCTGGGGGGGTCGACCTTACGGTTAGCTAGCAGCCCATGCTTAACCGCTGCACCATGACTACCCGACTACCCCGCAGTCTGTTTCTCCAAAAATGTTTTTGTTGGTTGTTGAGTTCAGGTGTGACTTTTCACAAGCTGAGAGCTGTGTTTAGTTCCATTTAGATGTGGCTTCTTTGACTTCTGGAAAGGCTGCAATTTAAGAAGGCTCGGCCCTGGTTCCTCCTCCTCTTAGTAATGGTGGGGACGTGCTCAGCTTTGAACTCAGACTGAATTGCTGCCCTAGTGGGGCGCATTCCCTTTAGTTTGTTGTTGAAGCAGTTGTCTCTCTCTGGCCTACTTTAAAGCACTGCACTTCTGCCTGCAAAGTTGGGTTTCTACCAGAAATGTTGTTAAGAGCACTAAGGAGGAATGCCTGCTTCTTTGTGAACAGCATTTTAAATGTTCTTTTAGTATTTCTAATTCCCATGCAGTGTCAGTCTAGGGGCACAGCTTTTAGTCTTTCTTGAAAACTTGAAGACCCGTTTCTGTCTCTCTCCATTTGCGTCCCAAGGTCAGCCTTACTCTTGACAGAGGAGTTGAGAAGAAACTCATTGCAAAGTGTTTATATCACAATCTGGCCTGGTGAGAAAAACACAACTGGCAAGAGAACTTAAATTCTTATTACAAGTTCAAGTCTGTTGCTTTTAACACATCCGAAGACTTTATTTTCCGTGTGAAGAATTCTAAACTGCATTGAAGACATTTGCAAAAAATAAAAACAAGGCTGTAGGACTTGACAGGGACACCACATGAAATGTTTCCACAAACCGATGCTGCACTTCAGGCTCATGTGTGCCAAGACATTTGGAAGACAGCTACCTAGCCAGCCAACTGGAAGAGATCCATATCTGTGCCCATTCCAAAGAGAGGTGACTCAGTGGAATGCAAACATTATCGAATAATATCACTGATATCACATGAAAGTAAAATTTTGCTGAAGCTAATCCAAAAATGGTTGCAGCAGTACACTGACAGGGAGCTGCCAGAAATTCCAGTCAAATTTAGAAGAGGATGTGGATTGAGGGTTATCATTGCTGATTGAGATGGATCTTGGCTAAAAGCAATGAATACCAGGATGATGTTTACTTGTACAGTCATTTGACTGTGTCGACCATAACAAACTATGGATAACATTGTGAAAAATGCAAATTCCAGAACACTTAAGGCAGTCATTGAAACAGAATGGGGAGACAGACTGCCTGGTTTAAAATCAGGAAAGGTGTGCACCAGGGTTATTTAGATCCTTGCACCTTACTCATTCATCTGTATGCTGAGCAAGCAATCCGAGAAACTAGACTGGAGGAAGACTCATTAATGATCTGCGATATGCAGATGACAACAACCATGCTTGCTGGAAGAGAAGAGGACTTGAAGCACTTACTGATGAAGATCAAAAACTATAACCTTCAGTATAGATTGTACCTCAATATAAAGAAAACAAAAATCCTCACAGGTGGACCAATAAATAACACCTTGATGAAGTGGAGGAAAGATTGAAGTTGTCAAAGACTTCATTTTACTTGGAGCCACAAAATTAACACTCGTGGAAGCAGCCGTCAAGAAATCAAACAACGTATTGCACTGGGGCAAATGTGCTGCAAAAGACCTCTCTCAAGTGTTGAAGGACAAAGATAACAGTTTGAGGACTAAGGTGCTCCTGACCCAAGCTCTGGTATTCTCAGTTACCTCATATGCATTCCAGAAGCATTCCAAAAGGGAAGAATTGATGCCTTTGAATTGTGGTGTTGGCAAAGAATGCTGAGTATACCGTAGACTGCTAAAGCAAAACCAAACCTGCCTTGGAAACAGTACAGCCAGATTGCTCCCTAGAAGTGAGGATGATGAGGCTTAGTCTCAGATCCTCTGGAAAGGAGGGGCCTGTCCTTGGAGAAGGACATCAAGCTTGGTAAAGTAGGTGGTCAGCAAACAAGAGGAAGATGGAATGGCGCAGTGGCTGTGAGGATGGTCCGAGTCAGGCAGTGTTCCATTTGTTGTACATACAGTTGCCGTGAGTCAGAAAAGATGCGACAGCACTGAACAACAATAACATAATCTAGAAAATTCTCAGATTTGCATATGTTTTTAATAAAGCATAATACTGAATTTCCCTCCTCTTTGCTTTTCTTTGAAAGAGAAAAATATATATTTAGTGATACAAATATTATTATTGGACCATGTACCTAGTTGGTTAATGAACTTAAAGCAAAGTTGGATCCAAACTTACAGAGAGAGGTACTACAGTTAACACTACCATGTTTACTGAGGTTTTTTTTTTTCCTAAAAAGTGCTGATTCAGAAAGTTGTTTTATAAAGTGAAAATGCTAAGTTCTTATCTCTTGGGCTTTATCTTGCTAACATTGTCAGGATATAGCACATCTGGCTTAGATTGTCAAACAGTCTGGTTTCATGCTTCAGTAAAAATGAATCCAATCAAGTTGAAATTGAAGATAGATAAAAAGGGTTTTGGTGGAGCAGACATTTTTAAACATAACAAGGTTGTCAGGAAAGATCTTGAAAGCTCCTTTCTGAACGGCCTTTAAAAATAGGTTGGTGCTTTGTGCTTAGGTAACCATTTGTGGTTAGGTAGCCAGTTCTGACTCACAGCGACCCTGGTACAAGAGATAAAAACGCCGCCTGGCCCGCACCATCCTTACAGTTACTCTGTGAGTCCACTGTTGCAGCCACTATGTCAGGTCGTCTCGTTGAGGGTCTTCTCTTTTCCGATGATGCTCTACTTTTCTCAGCATGAGGTCCTTCTCCGGGGATGACTTCATCCAGAGCTGTTCTAGTCAGCTAGAGTTCCACGTAAGAGGTGGTGGGGAAGGAATGAATGGCTTCCGAGTTTCCTTCAGTTCTTCAATTCTTGATGATACTGCCTCATAACACTGCCAGGATTTTATACGAACTTAATTGTCATTAAAGGGTTCTGAGGGGAGAGGTGTAGTTTTGTTTTTATAAGTCAGGCTTTCATTGTGATAAAAATTTTAAAAACCATCCTCATCATATTTAGTAACATTTGTATTTCTATATCATCATTTGGCTTGTTTTTTGTATTATTTGATTCCCTTCCTTGCCCCTCTTCCCAAGTATGAATTGTAGCCAAATACAGTGAGCCTTTGAACGGCACCAGCATTGTTCAGGGGTCAGCTGTACGGTGAAACCTGGGGGACCTGGGACTTGACAGACTGCCTTGTTTTCTGGGTCTCACAAATTCTCTGCTTTAGATAAGGGGCTGCCTCCACCTTTTTCCTATTGCTTCTTTTAGTGGAAAATATTTGCATATTCCTTCTCTGGAAGGTTTCCACTGTACGGGTTCTGGTTTCTACAGGTGTTAACTGCACTTAGATGCAATTCTTTGCAGTTCTTGCTTTAGTGGACAGTGAAGCGGAATCCATTGGACGATATGGGCAGTGCAGACCACTTGCTTTGGGGCTATTTAAGAATGACAGCTAAAGCCACTTTCAGGTCTTTACCCAGAAGCAGACGCATCCAACCTTCTGTGCGCATCTGGGGACACAAGTCATTGTGCGATGTCTGTATGGTTAGAGTTCCCTGCCTGCCCCAGCTCGAATCCGTTTCTTAAATTATGCTGACCTTGGAGCCATTAGTAGAGACTCAGCAAGCTGCACTCATAAATAATGCAGTCACTGTGGAATGGCAGGGCATTTATAGTTCATGCCAGTAAGTGTTTCAGTTGGGTTACTCAAGAGCTGTTGGCCTGACCCCTTTTTCAAGTTGGTGAGAGGCATGAGTGTGGGTTCTTTATAAAGCTTCTGTGTAGAGCTCAAAGCCTTGATACACGTCTCCTGTGGCGGCCTGGCTTTAATGACTGTGGAGAGAGAGGGCCTATATGGTTGGGGTTTCCTTGTTACTGGCTCTCTCTCTCTTGCTCTCTATTTTTCTTTTTAAAGCTGTTTAAGCCTTTGGTTAGCCATCAGTGCACTGGCCCTAAAACAAGAGAGAAGCACTGTCTGGCCTATCTGGAAGTTTGGGGCTGGACTTGGCTCTGGTTTTCCAGTTGTTGTTGTTGTTGTTGTTGTTATGTGCCGTGGAGTCGGTTCCGACTCACAGCGACCCTGTACAGGGTTTCTGAGGCTGTAAATCTTTACAGGAGCAGAAAGCCTCATCTCTCTCCCACGGAACAGCTGGTAGTTTTGAACTGCTGACCCTGAGGTTAGCAGCCCAATTCGTAACCGCTGCCCCAAACTGTTGTTGTTATCATTAAATGTCGTCGAGTCAACCCTGTATGGAGTTTATGAGGAGCGACTGGTGGGTTTGCACTGCTGACCTACAGCACCATGCTCTTGTTCAGACAGAACCTCGAGCTGCATTCTGTCACTGTCTCTGGCAGTCACCAGATGTGGCGAGTCCCTGTAGCCTGCAGGGGACAGTGCAGATGGGTCTCTCTGATAAGATGGGATAGTGACGTTGTGACTAAAGTCCCATGACCTTTTCATTCCATTTTTCCACGAACTTTTCGAGGCCCCTCGTATCTCTGTGGATAAGCCTCTTCCCAAACAGTTTCTTCCTATGCAGGTTCATCTGTTTTGCATTTTCTTTCTTCCTGTTTTCCTTTGCTCATTTTAATACGACCTCAAACTCTGGGCAGTTTTCCCCAGGACTTCTCCTGACTCTGTTCTCCGGCTGCCTTCTCTTGACCTTTCCTGTCAGGACCTCGTTCAGCAAAGACGCAGACTCCTCCTTTCCTCTTGCCCCCGCTTTTCTTGCACGAGCTCAGTGGTGTATTCTCAGATTATCTCGCTAAAGAGAGAGTGAGGCGGCGCTCTCCCTTCAGAGCCTCTGATGTCGAGAAAAGCTATTTTATAGCAGTATTCAATGCCTGTTGACAGCTTTGCCAGGAGAAACATTGATTTTTCGCTTTCTGTTTTTCAGGCTCTGCTTTCTTCCCTGGACGATGTGCTGAGATCTTTGCCCGTGGTCAAAGCATCGGGAAGCTTGGGGTCCTTCATCCTGACGTCATCACCAAATTTGAGCTGACCATGCCCTGCTCCTCCCTGGAAATCAATATCGAACCCTTTCTGTGAAGATGGGGCTGTGGTGTCTGATTCACTCAATCCTCCTCTGTGTCCCTAACCCGCCTCCACAGGGACCTCCGTGTGTGCTGTAAAGTTTAATAAAGTAAAACCCCTGGCTGGCGCTGCATTGGGCCGGCCTGTGCAGTAACGAATGTGGTATCAGCTTGTGAAGTTCACGGGTAGGCCAAAGGCCAGCAGCGGAGTGTCAGCAAAACATACTTGTAGGGGGAGGCGTGGTTCTGAATGGCAGGAGGGCTCCTGAGACAAACACACCCCGCACCCCACCCACACACCCCCAGTGATGACCGCTCCACATTGGGACCCCATTCCTGCTGCGGGCTCACGGGCTCACACAGATGACTGAGCATGACTAAGGACCTAGTGTTACTTCCCTGTGTTAAAAGAGTAGTGTTTTGAGAAAACTTTGAGGAATCTTAGGATCACTATTATAAATCTGTTTAATACAAATTCAATCACAATCTAATAGTTCCAGCCTCTGAAGTCATTTTAAATTAAAAGAACTTGCAATGTAAGAATTCAAGTTATTTGAGGTTGCTTAAATAAATTTAAAGGCGCTGTGGAATAAGCACTCAACCATAATGTCCCTTTGAACTGTAAGGGCAAAGGTTGAAGCTCACCAGCTGCTCCTCAGAAACCCTATATAGGGTCTCTAAAAATCGGGACCGACTTCATGGCACCTAACAGATAGGTTTAAGGGGCCCTGTGGGTTATGAATTGGGTTGCTAACTCAATGACAGCAGTTTTAATCTAGCAGCCACTCCGCGGGAGAAAGATTAGGCTTTCTGCTCTGAGTCGGACTGACTCCAAGGCACCCTACCACCAGATATGTTTCAGGCCCTGGTGTGGCGCTGTAGGATAAGCACTGGACTGCTCTCTGCGGTAACCACAAGGTTAGCAGTTCAAACCTTTGGAAACCCTTTAAAGGGTCACTATGAGTAGGAACCGATTTGACAGCATACAAGGTATGTTTTAAGGTGGCGGCACTGTAGGATACACAACTGCTAAGCACATGATTGGCAGTTCAAATCCACTAGCAGCTGGATGGGAGGAAGATGAGGCTTTCTGGTTGCCTTGGAAACGATACAGGGTCGCTATGAGTTGGAAATGCCTTAATGGCATTTAACCCCAGCAGGTCTGTTTTACACTCTCTGTGACCCTCTGAGGACCCTCTGGTGTCCTTGCAGCATACACTGGTCCCTAGAGGAGCTGAAGTGGACATGTGTTGATTGTAGAGCTGGAGGAACAGCAAAACCGGGAGGAAACGTATTTTTGCCCTAGGCTATTCACATTGCTCTAATTGATCAGTTATAAAATCATGGTTTAAAATAAGAATGTTAACTAGTTTCTGTCAGTTTACTGGGACTAGATCTCTCCTCTGAAACAAGTCTGTGAGCCCCCTTGTCTTACTTGCTAATTTCCTCTCCGACTTTGATCTAGAGCCTCCAGACGTTAGGTCTAATGTTGGTGGAATTGCTGAAATTATATGGATGATATGAAACAAGTAAAATGCAAAATTTACCCCAGTAGAGATAGCTCAGGAAGATATTAAGACAATTTATGTCTGGAACTCTTATGAGCCTGGTACAAAACCTGACCACATTACAACCTTGAATCAGAGGTAGCAGTTTCCAGCGTGGCAAGATTTGTGAACCTGACAAACTTGCTACTGTTCCTTCTCACTCCTGAACAGCCAAGAGCAGAGGCTACATTTTTAAAATGAGGTAAGGGTATATACCCTTACGAGAGAATGCATGTCAAAGGACAGATCCAAATACATAACGAATCCTTACAACTTAATAAGAGAAACCCAGTTTTTAAAAAAATGGACAAGATTTGTATAGACACCTCCCAAAGAAGACACGACTCTTATTAAACATAGAAAATGTTCAACATCATTAGTGATCATAGAAATGCAAATAAAAAAATCACAATGGGAAAGGAAGGCCGGGTGACCTACTTCTAAAATACCAGCCATTGAAAACCCTGTGGCGTGCAGTTCTACACCATCACACGTGGGCCTGAATCAGCTAGATGCCAGTGGGCTCTGGGTTTAGTGGGGACTGCTGAGATTCTAGTGGTTTCTTATTCTGGGAGCCAGTTGCATGAGTGTGTGCAGGTGGTTAGAATTAATTGAGCTTTCTGCATGTGCACTTTTCTGTCTGTATGGAGATGGGGGTTGTGGTGTGCCATGGGTCAGTTCCAACTCATCGGGACCCTGTATATGGTTTCCAAGGCTGTGAACCTTTAAGTGAGCAGAACGCCTGGTCTTTTCTCCTGTGGAACTGCTGACCATTTGGTTTTCAGCCAAACTCATAGCCCACTATGCTACCAGAGCTCCTTTTCTTTCTACATAGTGGAGGTTATGTGCC